GTAAAGATACAGTAGTCATTAAGCTGCAGTATTAAAAACGATTAGGGGAATGAGGTAAGTGAGACAAATAGTTTACAAATCCCCCGAACTTGCTTCAACAATCATATAGAACACCATGGTGTGCACGTATCAAAATATGACAAAGGGGGAAGTGTAAAGAGAATGCCAAGGTGAAAAATTGAAAAGTTAGGCCAAAACAAACACATTTAAAAAAAAATCAAATCCACGACCGAGTGCACATGTTCGGCCCCGGACATCGTCGAAAAATATCGATATTCCCCAGGGCAAGCTCCGGGCATATGAGAGTATTCAATGAGATCTACCACATATTCAAATTTCAAAGCAAATGGACTTCGTCTGGGATGCCAATTAATTGTGGAAAGTAGGGGACGTAGGGTGCCGTGACCTAGTCATGTGCTTATGCGTTGCAAAATGGAAGTGATGTGATACATGGTCTCTCAGGTGGTTGTGAATGTGGTAACATGAAAATGTCAAGAAAACATGCTCAAGAACGTCTAAGGAAAGCAAAATGACAAGTTACACACAAACGGAGGTCCAAACAACCAAAATGAATCAAGTAATTCGATGATTAAGTGTGCATGTTCACCCCCGGACATCATTGAGAAAACTTGAAGTTTTCCCTAGAAACCTCTGGGCATATGAAGTATGTAGTGTGGAGTGACACATATTCAATTTTCAAGCTCAATGGACGTCGTACGGGTACTTAACGCAAGGGACGAAGTGGGTGCAATGAGGTGACGTGAACCGAACACGTGTGCCTTAATGAGTGTGGTTGGGAGGCGAGTGTTTCGAGCTTAATTTCGATGGCATGTAGACATCACGTATATGAAAATGCGTATATTCAAAATGTCTAATGCGGAAACACACAAAATGTACTAAAACTTTCACGTGGGCAATTCATCGAACATGTAGCATGCAAGAAAAATTCTTCCTCATTCTAAAAATACTTGGCAAATGGTAATCACCCAAAGAGAAAAAACACAATTGGAAGCCCTAAACCTCGCATACTCACACCCATTCAACCGAAATCACAATTGGAGAATAGGAACAACTACAACCCAAATTCAAAATGTAAGGAGGGAAGAAAAAAAAACATACCTTTTGTGCCTTGAAGAGAAGTAATGAATGTGGGATTGATTGATGAAAAGAATTTGGTGGGTGCTGGTGTTCCAATATGGTTGAGAGTGTGAGAGAGAAATGGGCGAGGGAAAATGGGAGAGGTGGAAGTCGAATGAGCCGGTCTTGGACTTAAGTCCATGATCGGTTATAACTATGCGGCCGCATAGTTAAATTCTATGCGATCGCATAGTGAAGAAAATTTTCCCCATATGACTCTCGGTATATGCCTATGCGATCGCATAGACCAAATTAAAAATATATATATATTTTTTCTTTTTTTTTAATACACTGAAGTCCAAAAAAAGAAATTTCCCGCAAATTTTTTTTACCTAGAAATGCGTGAATCATACTCCCAAACACCCCAAAATCATTTCAAACTAACCGACCAATGTGGGTAATGCCCAGAAAATTATGGAGATGATAATTCAATCCTATTAACATGCATCTACGACCGATGACCTAGAAAAATGTAAATACGAAAATGAAATAATTATAAGAATAATGTGAAAAGTAAGCAAATAAAAGGATACAGTGGGTTGCCTCCCACTCAGCGCTAGATTATAGTCGATAGCTCGACTTTATCGTATTGCTTCATTCTGATGGTCGAAGATGAACGGTAGACTTTTCCTTTGAAAAATCGTCGCCCCAATAGTACTTCAGACGCTGTCCATTGACCTTGAATGTCCTCTTGCTATCGTGAGTGATCTCAACTGCCCCATATGGAAAAATCTGCGTAATAGTATACGGACTAGACCACCTCGATCGCAGTTTTCCAGCAAATAGCTTAAGCCTAGAGTTGTAGAGTAGCACTTTCTGCCCCACCATAAATTCACTCCTCTGAATGTGCATGTCATGCCATTTCTTGGTGCGCTCTTTGTAGATTCTTGAATTCACGTAGGCTTCCATTCTGAGTTCATCCAGCTCATTAAGTTGTAGGAGACGTTTTTTACCCGCAGCCTTCAAATCTAAATTCAATTTTTTCATTGCCCAGTAAGCGTGATGTTCTATCTCAAGAGGTAAGTGACATACTTTTCCGAACACCAGTCGATATGGTGACATTCCTATAGGGGTCTTGAATGCAGTCCTATAGGCCCACAAGGCGTCGTCCAATTTCTTAGAGCAATCATTTCGTGACGAGCTTACTGTGACTTCGAGTATTCACTTCAATTGTCTATTGGACACTTCGACCTGTCCGCTGATTTGGGGATGATATGCAGTGGCTACATGATGTTTAACGCCATATTTAGCCAACAATTGTTCGAACTGACGATTGCAGAAATGTTTGCCCCCGTCACTGATTATAGCCCTCGGTGTTCCAAAGCGAGTAAAAATATGTTTTTTGAGAAACTCAATCACCACCTTCCCATCATTGGTAGGCAGTGCAACGACCACTACCCACTTTGATACGTAATCCATAGCCACTAATATGTACTGATTAGAGAAGGATGGGGAAAATGGCCCCATGAAGTCGATCCCCCAGATGTCGAATAGTTCCACCTCCAAGATACTATTCAAAGGCACTTCATTTCTCCTGGATATATTTTTGGTGCGTTAACATTAGTCATACCTTTTCACGAATTCAAAAGCATCTTTAAATAGTTTAGGCCAATAAAAACCTGATTGAAGGATCTTCGCTGTTGTTTTTGAAGCACCAAAATGTCTTGTATTTGTAGATGAATGACAATGTTCTAATATCAAAGGCACTTCTTCCTCAGGTACGCAGTGACGAACAATTTGATTAGCCCCCCGCCTGTATAGAATGGGATCCTCCCAGAAATAATATTTCAGTTCAGAGAAAAATTTCTTCTTCTGGTGATTGGAGTAATCAGGCGGCATGATAGACCTGGCTAAGTAGTTAACGATATCTGCATACCAGGGTGCCTCCCCCAAACCAAAAATCTGTTTATCTGGGAAGACTTCGTTGATTTTCACTGTTTCTGTCTGTTCTGTGGCCTTGAGTCGAGATAAGTGGTCTGCCACTACATTTTCATTGCCTTTCTTATCCCTGATTTCCAAGTCAAACTCTTGAAGCAACAGTATCCAACGAATGAGACGGGACTTTGCATCCTTCTTTTCCATTAAGTACTTGATAGCAGCGTGATCTGTGTAAACGATGACCTTTGATCCCACGAGATATGATTGAAATTTGTCAAAGGCGTAGACTACGGCAAGGAGCTCTTTTTCTATAGTGGCGTAATTGAGTTGAGCGTCGTTCAAGTCTTACTTGCATAGTAAATCACGTCAAATATCTTATTTTTTCGTTGTCCCAAGACAGCCCCAACAGTATAATCAGCGTTGCACATTAATTCAAATGGCAGATTCCAATCTAGTGTAATGATCACGGGTGCTGAAATCAACTTCTCCTTCAAGGTGTTAAAAGCGAGCAAACACTCATCTGTGAACTCAAATGTGGATTCCTTCATCAACAGACAGCACAACAGTTTAGTAATTTTTGAGAAATCCTTGATGAACCTTCTGTAGAAATCGGCATGCCCGATGAAACTACGAACACCTTTCACGGATGTAGGTGGCGGTAATTTCTCGATCACCTGAATCTTTGCTCTGTCCACTTCAATACCCTTTGCTGAGATTCTGTGTCCTAGCACGATGCCTTCCTATACCATAAAGTGGCATTTCTCCCGATTCAATACCAAGTTAGTCTCCGTATACCGCTGTAGCACAAGACTCAAATGCTCCAAATACTCATCAAATGAAGACCCGAACACTGAGAAATCATCCATGAAGACCTCGATGAATTTCTCAATCATATCTGAGAAGATAGCCATCATACAGCGCTGAAAAGTTGCAG